GGCGGGGTTCCAGGTGCCTTTGGCCCCTGGGCCCCCCCCCCGCCTGCCCGCAGGCACACTCACTGTGAGACGTGGGTAATGGGGGTCAGCAGGGTCTCCCCCTCCAGGTCCACATCCTCAGTGAAGCTGTTGGTTCGCATGAAGTGGGCCATGCTCACGTCCAGCAGCGTGGGGCTCTTCCTCACTGTGGGGGCAAAAGGGATGGCCCGTCAGGCCTGTAGGTAGCAGGCTGAGTGGGTGGCCCTCAGCCCAATGCTTGCCTCATGCTTGGGCACCCAACAACACAGCCCCCAAAGTCCCAGGACCTTATGTGCAGGAGCCGGGGTCAAGGCCCTAGCACAGTAGCTAGGCCCAGACTGCTCCCAGCCTAGCCTAGCCCCCTGACTGTCCTTGCTGCTACAGAGTGAACAGACAGGCCTGGGTGCGCACACAGGGACCACTGCACGCAGTGTGGGGTGGGCCCACTGCCCAGCAGACTCCGTCTTGGCAATGGATGTGCACCTGGCCTGAGTCGGGGTAGTTTCAGTCACCTGCTCTAGAGGAAGTACACCCAAAACGACCCTGATGACATATGTGGAGGGGTTGGGGTGGGATGGGCCAGGTGTCTGTGTTTGCAAATCGTAGTACATGCTGAACATTTTTTGACATGTTAGCCACAAAGATGACATTTTAAAGGGCACCTTTTCTTTTTAATGTAAAGCAACACCAAACAATAGCACTTAAAGAACCAAAAAGCAGGCACAAAATGGTCATGGTGCAGCACGTGTGGGGCCTTGGGTCTGCCAGTGATCTTTTGGAAGCCACACCAGTATTGGTGCCGCCAATCTGTTTGGTTCACAAGTTAGGGTCTTTAAGAGCAAAAAGTGACGTTTCTGAGAGTAGGATTCAGCCTTGTGTGGAACACAATACAAAAGGGAAAATACTTAGACTTTAATAAAACTAGAGACCTTTTTTTCCCCTGGGAGAGACTGCAGAATGAAAAAGCCACGCCCCTTGAGAAAGGATTTTGCTACTCACCTAGTGGCCCTTGTATCTGCCCCTGGGCAGCATGGCCAGCCTGGGAAAGCCCAGCCACTGGCATCAAGCCCACGCGACTGGGAGTGACCCTAAGAGAAGGGCAGAATGGCCCCTGGGAGTTTCCAGGATGATGACTCGGCGAAAAGGGAAAGCGCCCCTCTTCCTCCCAAGGAGCGGGTGGTGGTTTTGAACTGAGGGCTTGTGGGTCACAGCCCACTGCGTAACCGCTGTGCCATCAGGGCACCTCGCTGAGGCTTGGTCCCCAGCCATGTGGTCGAGCCGGCCCTCAAACATTGCTGTAAAGGCGTGGTGTGGTGTGGTGTGGTTGGTGTTACCTGTCCAGTGAGCGGACTCTGGGTATATGCTTTCAGCCTTTCTCAAGCTACAAGGAAGAAGGAGAAATTCAAGCATCCGGGCGGAACGGGGAAGGATTCCGGGGACCAAATAGCGAACGGCGCAGGAAGCATCCACAGGAGATGGAAGGGGTGTGCTGTGTCAGTGCACCCCAACGTCGCTGGAGATCAAGGTACGTCCGCTCGTGGGTCTGTGCCCACTTGGCACGTGATCTGAACAACACCACGGCCTCAGGCCCGGAGGAGGGCTCATTGACAGACTGAGCCCCATTGGCCAAAATCTAGGCACCCCTGAAAGTACGTTCCCGTCACCCTCTCCCTTCCCTCCTCTCCTTTACCCACCGAGCCCTGTCTTGGGAACCCTGAGTCCTATGCCAGCAGTCAGCAGTCCCCTCCCACGTATCGACCCAGATGAAATGAGATGAGAGATTAAAAGCCTGTACGTGAGTGTGAATGTGCACAGCCGTTTCACCATAGGCCCAGGACGAGGCCCTGGAGCCTCTGGAGGCCTCCTTCCACAGTCCAGCGGCTGACTGGGCCGTGGCCGCCCCACGGCCTGCTCCGCAATGCAGAAAGTCTGACCCTTGATTTGTGGGGCTCTGTGCACGATTCTCAAGTGCCTTTTGCTAAATGAAGGAAGCCAGATGCCCCACACTTCATGTGAGAGATGATTCCATTTGTGGGACATTCTGGCCACGACGCAAGGACAGGGACAGAAACCAGACTGGTGGTTGCGGGGGAGTGGGGAGCTGAGGGGGTTGCCTACAGAAGGGTTTCACGAGGCAGTGTTTGGAGCTAAGGAATGGCTCTCTCTAAGACACCACGCCGGTGGACACTTCGAAGAGTGAGCTGCACTGAGCACACATTAACAAGGCATCCATCACCTCGACTGTCGAGGATCCCGGGATGGAAAGCAGACCGGGACAAGCAAATGCACCCCCACCCCAAGGATGTGGCAAGAGGGGACCCATTCCCAAACCAGAGCAGCTCACAGCCTCCGCGTCCATCTTGACACTCAGGGACCCCTGGGCAGAGGGGACGAGCCTCTAGGGCTCCCAGCCAGGGCCGTGAGCTTTGCGGAAATGGACCTCCTGCAAGTTGCTTCTGCATGTTTGGAAAACGAAGATCCGGGCGAAGCTTGAGCATTGAGTCCTCATCCTGCCTACCTTCCTCGGCCCCTCGTTAAGGTTTTACAGTTTCCCCGCAGAGGAGGCTCCTTCAGGTCTGCACGCATTGTCTGTGGGAACCTGGAGAAGCCGCTTGGGACGTGCCCGGAAGAGCGCCATCCTGAAGAGCACATGGAGAGCGTGTCCGCCAATTGTCAGTGCTGATGACAGTGGTCACGAAGGCTCTTGGTGCCAGCACAAGGCGGGGCACGTCAGCCACAGGGCAGGAAGGGGCACCCAGAGATGTCCTCCCTCCCACATAGCTATCTGCCTGGGGTAGGGGGTGGACTAGTCAGTGAAGGAAAAAACAAAATCTGAAGAATGTGGCATCAGGACTGGAAGAGGGACATCCATCTTCCAATGTTCAGGAACAGTTGGCCAATCCAGGACAAGAGGAATGCGGTAGGGCGACCCCTGCCTCACACTGTACACCAGAAGGAAAGCCCCTTCTTGGTATCCCAGGGCATGAGAGATAATGATTTAAGAAATCAAAACCCATAGGCTGTCTGTCCTTGGAAGATAGGAGCTGTGTCTCCATGGCTGCTGGGTGAAGCAGGGTAGACGTCCAGAGCCCATGAACCAGCTCCGCATCAGCTGCTCACTGGAAGGTTGGTGGTGCGAGCCCACCCCAGGGACAGAGAGAGGTGGGGCCGCCTGCTTCTTGAAGGCCACACACAGCCGTGGGGACAGTCTCCTGCTGCTGCAGTCAGCGTGGCGGCAAAGGGCTTGGTTTCGCCCACAGATCCGGAGCCCTGGAGCGGCGAACTCCAAGGCCCATCAGACCCGCTCCCCTGTAACGAGTGACACGTCTGGGAGACCGCGTGAGTGGGCGTCCACTCAGCTGCTGTGTGTGTGCTCCCCGTTTTCCTGAAGTGCCCTCTCCTCCTCCAAGCGCCTGGTTTGTCTGCGCTGTGTCGAAGATGTTCTGACCTGGCCTCGGTTCTAGAGTGGAAATGCACAGGCTCCACCGAGAACGGCTCCTCACTGAGCAGGGCAACCCCCCACCCCCGCCCGGACAGTGGGCAGCAGACGTGGAGCCCACCACCCGCAGGAACCCACGTGGGCCGGGCGCCGCTGCGGCCCTGCAACTGGAGAATGTAAATACAGCTCAGGAGCATGCAGCCCCTGGGGGCTGGGGGCCGGCGGCCAGCAGGAAACGGCTCAGACATGACTTAGCTGCACCTGGGAGCCGGGCCCCGAGTGAGGAGTTCTGGCCCCAGGACGGACTTGGAAAGAGCGGACGTGGCTGGAGCGTGGGAGTGGGCCCGGGGTTCAGGCCCGAGATCCCGTCCCCCCTCTGAGTCCTCTCTACATTGCAAAGCTGCCAAGTGGCAGAGCTGAGGTTCCGCTCAGGACTGGGACCCATGGAGGGATGTGGAGCCGAGAGTGGCTGGATGGCGGCAGGGACGGAGCCTCCCACACCCGGTTCCCGCGGAGCAAGGGCTGCCTGCGCCAAGGCAGGCCCACCGAGCAGTAGGGAATTACAGGGGCCTGTCCATCAGCCAGGGTTCTCCGCAAGCTTGTCAGTACCCCAGGGTGCCCAGGTTGGCGCTCGGAAGTGTGCACACCCAGGGAGGAACACAGCGGCTCCAGGTGTGAGAGCCGTGTCCATGGGCGGCCATGAGGCCCACAGCGCCGAGGGCAGAGGCCCTGGGCCGGAGACACACAGTCCCTCCCTGGGCGTGAGTGCCACTTTCCCACGGAGCCCAGCCCGGCTGCTCATACCCGTTCTGGGCAGAACAAGACGATTCTGTTTTCTAGGAAAATGGGAGGGTCAGCGCTGCCTCTGGCATGGTGACCGCCCAGCTGGGGCCACTGGCTGCCAAGGACACCCCCACGCCCACCGCACAGGACCCAAGCCTGGCCGTGCTGCCATGGGGCATGGTCAGCAATTGTGGCCCGGAGACAGGCCGGAAGGAGAGGCTGGTGTTGCTTTGACCCACACCACTGAGTGGTCGCTCCCCTGAATTGGAACAGGAAATGTCCCCTGCACCCGCTACTCACCCCCAGTATCTGGCCTAGATCCAGGAGGCAGACTCCTGCCCTGCAGAGGGTAGTGTCCAAGGCCTCCATCTATGTGGGTCCACTCCTAACCCCTTTTTCCCCCACTCGGCCACCAGCTGTCACTCAGCCGTGGGGACCCCCATCTCACCAACCTCTCTTGTCATCACTGTTACAGGAGGCTCCAGCCCCAGTTTCCGGGGTCCCAGTATGAGCTGCCTCAACATCTCCACCCGGGCTCAGGGTAAGTTCCTCACCGCGACCCTCACTTGGCGCCTTGTCTGCGGAGATCTGTCAGTGCCCTACGTGGGAACCACTGCTAACTCTTGAGAAGTCCCTGAGGTGCCCCTCGGGAAGCCCTGGGCCCCAGGTATTTTGGGGGCCCAGGTGCTGCGACTCTCAGAGGCAGGGCTAATCCGCCATTTTGCTCGTCCCACCCCACCCAGAAATGGCCCCTCTTGGCGGCCTCCCAAAGCCCTGTGGACCTAAGCCTGGGCTGGGCGCCCCCAGGGCTTTGGGCAGCTGTGGCTGAGCTGGGCTTGCCTGCGTGACAGCGCGGCTGTGCCAGCTGCTGTGCCCGGCCCCTGGCGGCCCCGCCACCTGCGTGTCCACGCAGAGCCAAGGACTGGGGGCACGAGACAGGAGTC